CAGCTGAGAAGCCAATTGTCCCATTACTTTTGGTCCCTTAACAAGTGTGAGGCACATATGCAAACTGTTGTAATTCCTACACCGTTCACCTGATTTGGATGTAAATACCCTCAAATTAAAGCTGGCAGTCTGCAGTTAAAGCACATCTTGTTTGTTTAATTTCAAATCCATTGTGGTGGTGTATAGAGCCAAAAATGTTAGAATTGTGTCGACGTCCCAATATTTATGGACCTGACTGTATGTGGTGCCCAGCTCTTGTCCTGGTCTCCTATCTTGCAGCCAAAATACAAGTTGTAGGCTTTCTTAATCATTCCTGTTATCCTCCTTTTTTGTGAGATAAAAGTTATTTCACCGCAGATATAGCAGAAATGATCTGCTTTATTCACACAAGTTCGAGGCATTACTGAGTAGCCTATATAAGATAAAACGAAATGTAAAGACGCTGTCGAACTACAATCAGCTACAGATACTGCAGCTTTTATGCAGTGAAGTGATGCAATTAAAGGCTAATATTGCATCATCTCAGTATACATGCAATTTTCTATTGGTCACCAGTATCAATTGCGCAATATGCAGCTGAAGTTGCATCATAATTTTGAATGGCTTACGTCATTAGATGGGTGAATATATCATGGAAACTAGAGCCAATCAACATTTTTTAGGGTCATTTTCGTTTTCAGCACCCCAAAATTATGTAAGATTAGCTAATTTTATGCCCAAAACTTTTTACCTGTTGAACAGTGTAATCCAAGCCTTGCTCTCAGCATTCATCACGTTGTTGTCCATCATTAGAGAATGATCTGCTCTCTCCATGGGATCTGAGGTTGAACTGAGCTCTTTTCCATACTCTGACCAAGAGAAGCAGACAAAACCCCCGGTCTCCTTCATGGGCCATAATCAGTGGCTGGAAGGCTAGCCCCTAATCCGCTCCAAAAATCCATGTCCCAGTTGGGTCTGTCACAACAAGCAACCTATTAATCCTCTGAAATGCATCTCAGAGGGTGTAATACAGCAAGAGGAAACCAGGCACATGAAGAAAACCTGAATACTCCTTTGCCAGCCCCTTTGTGATGGTAATACAGTGAAAAATAGTTAACAAATATAATAATACAATAAATAAAAAAAAAAAAAGATGTAAAATGTAAAGCTCCACATACAAGCACATATACGCACACAAATGAACACATATTGCACACACATGTACTGTATGTAAACAAGGTGCATGCTGAAGTGAGAGGAATCATTTTAACCACTTGCCCTCCAGAGGGTTTACCCCCCTTCCTGACCAGGCCATTTTTTGTGTTATTGCACTGCATTAATTTAACTGACAATTACACGGTCATGCAACAATGCACCCAAATTAAATTTACGTCCTTTATTTCCCCAAGAACTGAGCTTTCTTTCGATGGTACTTGATTGCCTGTGCGGTTTTTATTTCTTGCGCTATAAAAAAAGGATGTCCATGGATGTCCTCCCAGAACCCCCCCCCCCTGGTGCACCCCTGGGACAGCTGATCACATGTCCAAGTAAAGGGCAATTAGAGCTGCCTTTTACCATGTGACCAGCTGTGTCCAATCACAGCTTATCACAGTGTAAATACTAGTTATCAGCAGTCCTCTTCTCACGCTGACAGCGCGTGAAGAGAGGAGAGCAGGTAAGTGCCATTTCTCAGAGGGATATCTACAGCGAACATCAGGGCACTGATCATCAGTGCCCTGATGATCATTGTAGCCCCATCAGTGCGGCCAACAATGAGTGTCCATCTGTGCTAGCTTTCAGTGCCCGTTTGTGCTGGCTATCAGTGCCCATCTGTGCTGGCTATCGGTGCCCATCGGTGCTGGCTATCAGTGCCTCCTCAGTAATGCCTCTCAATGCCCATCAGTGCTGCCTATCAATGCCCATCAGTGCACAACAGTGCCGCCTATCAGTGCAGCCTCATCGCTGCCTCCTCATGAGTGCTCATTAGTGCAGCCTATCAGAGCCCATCAGTGCAGCGTCATCAGCGCACACCAGTGAAGGAGCAAAATCACTTTTTTAAAAAACTTTATAACAGAAATCAAGAAACACAATTTTTTTTTTAAATTTTTTTTTTTTTTTGTTTATTTAGCAAAAAATAAACACCGCCAAAGAAAGCTCTATTTCTCTAAAAAAAAAAGATAAAAATGTCATATGGGTACAGTGTTGCATGACCACACAATTGTCATTCAAAGTGCGACAGTGCTGAAAATTGGCCTGGGCAGGAAGGGGGTAAAAGTGCCCAGTAGGCAAGTGGGTAATTACTGACTTTAATTTACTGAAGATATAAATGTGAAACAAGTGCACAAATGTCATGCCACATACAGAATTGTGATGACCATCATTTTATTCTATAGCCCTCTGTGCCTATACAAGTCCACTTTTGTGTAAAATATGAAAAAAAATGAGTCCAGCAGCAAGAGCAGCAGCTGAAATGTAGACATTTTTGGGTAACTATAGCACCACACAATTAAGGTATTAGTAATGGTGTGTATTCTGTTAACTGCAGGTTCCTGCACCTGCTAAAAAAAATGCCCCTGTTGTGGTTCCCTCAGAGCTGCCAAATACTGTCCTGGGCAGCTGTCTTCTAGGGTTGTTAGAGTTAACAGGAGACACTGCTACAGAGAAAAGTTGCACTGCTTGCCCACTTCCTTGTGCCCCTCTCTCGTGAATGTGTAGGGGAAATCCTGTTTTTTAAGGGCTTTTCCATTTACAGAATGCAATCCATAGGGGTTGATTTGCTAAAGGCAAGTAGGCTGTGCACTGCAAGTGCAGTTGCTTTAGATCCAAAAGGAAGCTCTGAAATGAGGCGAAGCTCTGCGGATTTCTTTCATCTAATCATGTGCAAGCAAAAATGCAGTTTTTTTATTTTTCTTGCATGTTCCCCTCAGATCTAGAGCAACTGCACTTTAAGTGCACTTGCAGTGTGCAGCCTATTTGCCTTTAGTAAATCAAACCCTTTGTGTAACAATAATAATCTACCAGTTCTGTGAATGGGGGTGCAGACGGGGGCAGAAGGGGGCAGGTGGACGGTGCAACTTTTCACAGTAGCAGTGACTGCTGTTAAAGTGATTGTAAAGTTTCTTTTTTTTTTAAGATTTTTTTTTTAAATAACAAGCATTTCATACTTGCCTGCTATGTTCAATTGTTTTGTATAGAGCAGTCATAATCCTCCTCTTCTCAGGTCCCCCACCCGGGACTGTGGCTAAGGGGTGTACCACCATCCCTCCTGTACGGGGCCCAGGCCAGCAGGGGGACCCAGGCAGCTGGGTGATTTGGAATTGGGCAGGGAGGGAGATCGTAACGGCAGGGGTGCAATTACTGGAAGCAATCCCCTGTATGGTTCTCTCTGCAGCAGCTGAAAGCTGGCTTCTTCTCCTCTTCCTGCAACTGGCTTTCAGCTGCTGCAGAGAGAGCCATACAGGTCATTGGTACCAGTAAATGCCCCCCCCCCACCGCACCCATCACCCTTCTTGTGCACCATACCTTTCTCCATGCTGCCCAGGCCCCCCATGTGCCCCCACCCACAAAGTGCTGCCGGCACTTCCCTCCTCTCTTTCCAACCGCCACAATAGGGTCCTTCAGGATGGAAAGTGGGGGAAGAGTCTGGTAAATATGTCGCATTTACCAGCCCCTTCCTTTCCTAAATGAACACAATGAGTTATCGGTACCAATTACTCACTGTGTTCATACAAAACTGAAGTATAGTAAACTGTTTTTTTGAGGGGGGGGGGGGGGGGGGGCTGTCAGGTTGGCTGTATGGGGCCTCATGGTTTAGTTTCTAACAGCAGACCTGCCCCCACCAGTGCTCCTGTCCCCATTTCCCTGCTGAATACTCTGGGGGCACTGGTGCATGCTTGCTCTTGATCCACCTTTGTGTGTCTATGAGACACACGGAGTGTGGTTTGGCCCCGCCCAATCTTCCCTGGCTGTGATTGATAGCAGCGGAAGCCAATGGCTCCCACTGCTGTATCTCAGCAGGAGGAGGAAAAAACCTGAGAGAGCTTTTGCTCTCATGCACATTGCTGGATGGGGATCGGGTTCAGGTGAATAAAGGGGGGCTGAGGGGGGAGCTGCACACTGAAGGTTTTTTACCTTTATGCATAGAATGCACGAAGGTAAAAAAAAACCTTCAGCCCTTTAACCAATTTTTAACCTTCATAGTGCTAGAATATAGCTGCTCATGACAGTATCTGGCGGCTGTGAAGGAAGCACAGTGACAGTAGGGAAGATTTTTAGCAGAAGAAGCTGCCTGCTGGTAATGGGATACACAACATTATATATAACTAAAGTGTGCAGGGCTTGTAGCCCAAAAAATAACAAACTTCAGTTTTAAAAACTGCTGAAAACTGCTGCCAATAACATTGATATTGCATGTGACTTTAACTTATTAACCACTTGCCTACCAGGCACGTATACCCCCTTATTTACCAGGCCAATTTTCAGCTTTCAGCGCTGCCGCACTTTGATTGACAATTGTGCGGTCATGCAAGATTGTACCCATATGAAATTTTCTCATTTTTTTTTCTCACATATAGAGCTTTCTTTTGGTGGTATTTAATTGCTGCTGGGCACTTTACTTTTTGTGCTATAAGCAAAAAAAGTGCAAAAAAATTTGAAAAAAAAAAAAAGTTTTTTGTTTCTACTATAAAATTTCAAACAGGTAATTTTTCTCCTTCACTGATGTGCGTTGATGAGGCAGCACTGATGGGCACTGATAGGCAGCACTGAAGGGCACTGATAGGCAGCACTGATAGCCGGCACTAATGAGGTGGCACGGATAGGCGGCACTGATAGGCAGTACTAATGAGGTGTCACGGATAGGTGGCACTGATATGCGGCACTGATTGGTGGCACTGATAGGCGACACTGATAATGGGTACTGATAGACAGCACTGATAGGTGGCACTGACTGACATCACTGCTGGGCACTGATTGGTGGCACTGCTGGGCACTGACTGGTGGCACTGCTGGGCTGCACTGATGGGCACTGGTGGGTGGCACTGGTGGGCACAGGTGGGTGGCACTACTGGGCACAGATAGGTGGCACTTCTGGGCACAGGTGGTGACACTGCTGAGTGGCACAGGTGGGCGCACTGCTGGGCACAGGTGGGTGCATTGCTGGGCACAGGTGGGCGCACTGCTGGGCACAGGTGGGTGCATTGCTGGGCACAGGTGGGCGGAACTTGTGTGTGGCACTGCTGGGCACCGATCATCAGGGCACTGGTGATCAGTGACCCTGATGATCGGTGCCGATCCCCGCTCTGACAGCTGCCGGTTTTCGGCAGTACTTTCCTCACGATCTGACAGCGTGAGGAATGTGCAGCCGAGAACCGGCATTTGCATTTTCCCGGTGATCAGCGTGTCATTGGACATGGCTGATCACGTGGTAAAAAGCCGCTGTGATTGGCCTTTTACCACGTCACGTGATCAGCTGTGTCCGTAGGACACAGCAATCACGGAGATCGCCGGGTGAACGGCGAGCGCGTTCTGGGAGGACGTCATATGACGTCCACCCAGAACTGGCCAGCTGCAGTGCAGCCGTCATTCGGCTATCTGCGGTTGGCAATTAGTTAAAGCCCCACTGATGTTGGAATCTTGACAGCAATAGAGCAACTAATTTATGTAGAGGATCAGCACACAATCTAGACCAGGGGGTCTCCAAACTTTCTAAGCAAAGGACCAGTTTACTGTCCTTCAGACTTTAGGGGGGCAGACCGGAAAGCATCAGTGGGAGTAAACAATGCCCCATCTTTGGTGTTAATGAGAGGAACTGTGCCCCATTGATGGTGTCATAGGGAGAAATTGTGCCCCATCATTGGTGTCATTGGGCCCTGTTCTTCGTATCATTGGGATGAACTGTGCCCCATCGTTGGGGTTATTGGTGGGAATTGTGCCCCATCGTTGGTATCATTGGGAGGAATTTGTTGGTGTCAGTGGATTAAATAGTGCCCCAATTAGTGGGTTACCTCATACTGCAGCAGATGCTTCCAGCCAGCAAATCTATGGCGGAAAGTTGATCAAACAAGTCTCATTTTCCTGGATGTAAGACCACTAATATAGAACTGGAAATGGTGTGTTGTATACTTGTATGCATGGTTTTGCTTTCATCAGGGGGCCAATTTGCTTTATGATCAGATCATTCCTTAAAGAATATGTAAATCCAACATTTCATATTCCTGATATGTGCCTGCTGTACCATGTAGTTGTGTGAAAAAGTATCCTGTTCTCTTTGTATTGCTTCCTTTGTGTGAATTTCCGGAGTTCCTGACAGTCCCTATGCTTTCCTTTTTTTAAAAAAAAACTGACCACACTAAGCATGAGAACACTTTGTGATCAGTTTTCTGACTGTGTTGAGAACTCAGCCTGTTCTTTTCCAATGATCAGGCTTGCCCTGACACACCCCTCCCCATGCATAGCCATACACTGGGAAGGTGAGTGTACTGCTGTTGCTCCTCCTCATGCTCTTATGCAGCTGAAAATAGAGGGTATGTGATCACTTATAAAAAAGAGGGGGAGGTATTTTTTTTATATGTATACACAAATGTTTTTGCCCTTCATTTCTATTTTAAGCTGAATGGGTTGTTTTACAAAGTGAGGGTTCACATGTACTGTAACATCTTACCACTGTCTAATATCTATGGTCAGCTTTAGTGTATGGAATCTGTAATTTCAAGGTAATACCTGCAGATATTTAGATATAAGGTATCAAGATTATTTTAAGATTCAAATGACTGTAATTTTATCTTGCTTTTTCTACATGTCTTATGTAACTGTGTACAACAATTAAAAGATCTAGCAGAGTTTCCTAGTTACTACTGTATATGCTTTACACAATGTTATCACAAAAGATATCACCATCTATCTTTAAAATTTGCTGTACAAAACATTCCTTTGTTTGATAAACAAAGAACTCCATGGTTGCGAATCACTTTACAAGATGCTAACGTTCAAAGAACTTAATAGATGGTACTTTTTGAAGGTGTTGTGGTCAATAAAGAAGGTGAAGGACCAGAATGTTTTGCTTTATTTTATTTTTTTTTTCCATTTTTTTTTCTTTTTCATCAACAAACACCAACAGACTGTACATACAATTTTCCCCACGCAGGGCTTTACAAAAAAAGAAAAAACACAAAACATCCACACATAAAAAAAAAAAGAAAGAAGAAAACCTTCCCACCCAGTTATCATTGCAGTTTTAAGGCATCATAATATAATTATGGGGAGCTACAGTCCTGAAGATGCCCAGATCTACAAATAGTCATCTAAACCCACTATCTATATGAACAAACGTGTCATGTTTCCCCAAGTGTAGGCACCAGTAATTAAAACATAAATATATGATAACCTATTCCCATAAAGGAAACATATGTTTAATCCATTTTGACCAAATAGCATCGAATTTACTCATTGAAACCCTAAAAAATATGTATGTTTTTCAAAAGAAATAAGCTTATTAAGGTCAAATATCCAGTCAGATGTTGGGAGGTCCATCTAACGGCAATCTGTCTGCGGGCCACAAAAAGTGCCCACATAATGGTAATCATATAGGAGGCATGTACAGGGAAGAGTCTACATAACCCAGTAGACAAATAAGTGGTTCAACATGAATATCCACATCAAAGAGCCTATTGAGTGTAACAACCACCTCCACCTAGTATTTCTGGAGCTTAGGACACCGCGACATAAGATGTATAAAAGTACCAGGGTTGCCACATTTAGCTTAGGCTGGGTCATGTTTCACACCTATAATATGAAGAAAGTCAGGGGTTCTATATACCGTATGAACAAATAAAATTCTGTGTTAATCTATGAGATGGAGAGGGAGACACCAGAGGAAGAGTCTGAAGGATCTTCCCCCAGATCTCCTCCGAAATGGAACCAATATCCTGTTCCCATCCTACCCTGGACGGGTGTGGAAACTTCAGTAAGAATTTCTTTAATAGATTTACATTACATTAGTTTCCAAAATAAGTCCCTTGGTTGAAGTAGCTTGAACTACTCTGTCTGGTAATGGAGTCGGGGAAAAAAACACTACTGTAGAGGAGAATTGGGCACATGGTGATCTTGAAGAAACTGGAAAAACTCCTTTGAGGTAAGAAAACTCTGTCCTCAACTGCTAAAATGTTTTAAGAGCTCCATTCTCCTAAAGCTGTGCTAGGGTAGAGATCCCTGATCTTTCCCATTTCTGAAAAACCTAAAGAACAAGAAGCTCAGGAAGCCTGTTCCATATTGGAGTATATCTAGTGAGATTAGAAATCTCTACCATTTTCTTAGCTTCCTCCCACAGCTTACATATTAACGCCAAAGTAGGTATGGCAGTTAATGAAATGCCCCCCCCCCCCCAATGCCCCTTCCAGAATGTGGTGGCTAGAAGATGTAGGAAAATAGTCGGCAAGCAGACCTAGGAGGTCTTCCAGATTCCCAACCCGCCAGGTGCTGCAGTTGAGCTGCAATAAAATATAACCTTGGGTTGGGAACTGCTAGTCCTCCAGCATCATTGGAATGTTGTAGTGTCTCGAATTTTATATGGGGAACCTTCTTTCTCCAGATTAAATCCCTAAATATGCTATTGATCTTAATAGAAATCCGCAGACGAATCCAAACTGGGAAGTTATGTAGAAAATATAAGAATTGGGGCATCCAAATCATCCTTAGTAGGTTTACACGACCTACCAAAGATTGAGGTAACTTACTCCAAGTTTTACTTTGAGTTTGAAATCTAGACAACAATGGGGCAACATTATCTGGGATAAATGCCTGAAATTAAGTAGATATTGTTAACCCTAAGTACTTTATAGATGACATACCTCTTAAATAGGAGAGTGTAGGTGGTAAGGGAGTTGACAAAGGGTCCAACGACATTAGCATTGATTTCTCCCAGTTTATGCCAAGGCCTGAAAATGTCCCATATTCATCAATATATTTCATTACTACTGGAAGTGATGTCTAGATACTAGATAAGAACAAAAGGAGATAATCTGCATATAGTGCTATTTTTTCCTCAGAAACACCTCTAACTAAACCTGTCACATCTGTTGAAGCCCGAATAAGGCAGGCCAAAGGTTCTATGACAATGGCAAAAAGCAGGGGGCAATGGACAACCCTGCCTAGGGCCACAAAAAAATCTAAAAGAGGAGGATTGAAGGCCCTTAACTCTTACTGAGTCCTAAAGTGCTGTATACAACAATCAGACCCATTGCTGAAAAATGGGACCAAAGTTTAAGAACAGCCATCAAATATGGACACGCAAGACTTGCTTTATTTTCAATGATTATTAGCAATACACAGGCGGGTTTCTACTAGCTGATATACTGCTCATGTTCAAGTTATCTTTTTATTGTTATATTTTATTGTTAGTGCTGGTTTCCATATCAAATATGTTTTACCTGTTATCTCTACCTGTCAAAGGCTTTGGTTACCTATTAACTGCAATAAACCTGAACCCTTGATTTGTTTCTCGTTAAATATGTGTGTGATAACATTGACTCCTGATGGACAGCAATTTCTCCTGAGTGTGCGTTAATTACTAAAGCTAGCCATACACCAGTAGAATTTCCCTATGAAATTTCCATTTTTGGAACGTTTTGATTTTCTAATAGATAATGTCGAATGTCGTCAAATCAACAATCACTTTTGACCACAGTGATCAAAAAAAGGCAAGGAGCAGGATGGAAAGTTTTTCTCGAATGAACACAATTTCAGCAGCTTTATTTGTTTTTTTGTTCAGGAAATGCCATTTATATCAAAACCATTTAAAACTGTTAAAAACAAAGAAAATTGTGAAGTCTTTTTGAGTGACATTTGTCAGGTCTCTGATGGCTTTAATAATGGGCTGACAAGACTTTTTTTTTTTTGTATGAATGTATTGTATAGCCAGATTTAGTGTTATGTTCACAAAAATGGAAAATTGTATCAAATATTTACCATAATTTTCTCTTCCTGGAGCTAATCCATTTCAGCATACTACCACATGTATGCTGCCATGCTGGCGCCAGGAAAACAGAATATTGTATCAAATACTTACCAATAGGGCCTTTCACAGGGGGCAGTCTCCACCTGCGATCTACTTGCTCAGTAGAGGATCTGTCCAATGATCCCTGCTGAGCAGGAAGATGACATGTCCGTGTCCACTCCACTTATGCAGCGCAGACACTGACACAGCCAGGTCTGCTCCATGGGCGGTCAGATGCCTGTTCATTTACACCCAACTGCCATCCAACCCAATCCGCTGAATCGGATTGGATGTAGGCGGGTGTAAAGGGACGTAGTTGTGTTCACAATAATAGCAGTCAGACATCACTAACCTGATCAATCATTGTTTTTGATAGAAATGATATTTCTAC